ATGAATATAAAAATTGCTTTCCAACTCATCCCTACCAGACCTGGAAGAATAAAAAAAAAAAAGGAAATTTTTTGCTGAAACGGTCCTTTTTCAGTTGTGTGGAATGAATAGAATAAGTTTCCTCCCACAATGCGATGATTCTTTTCGAATAAATATGGATAAATCTTTACTAACTCTTTTCTCTATAACTGGAATCAGGAAGCAAGTAGAAATTGAATTTTCTGTTGAAATTCTTTGATTTAAATCGTGTGGAATACATTCAATCAATTTCTGGAACATTTATATAATAAAAAATTCTGTAAAATAAAAGTAGATGATATTTTTTTCACACTTCTTTTGACCTGCTGCTAGAAACAGGAAGGAGAAAAAAATTGAAATGTTCTATAGAAATTTCTATTTTTCTCTCTTCAGGAGGGGCAAATACAATTGAACAGTTTGAAGAAATAAATCAGCAAATTTTTGGAATCAATACAGTCTTGACAATGAAGAAAGATGCATTGGAAAATATTTTCACCACACCTCTCGAAAGAAATGAGGAATGTTCTGTCAATGGAATGTTCTGTCAAAAGTCCCCTACTTCCAAGTGGAATGCATTCAATCAAACTCTGCAAAAAGTAATTCAATGAGTATTTGAAATAAGTAACCTGAACAATACAAGTGGAAGCATGGAAAATTTATTTTTGAACTCTTTTCCAGACCTGCAAAAGAACAGGTTGACATTCAGTGTATTTCTAAAAGTCCACTGTCCTTCTTTTCTGTGGAATAAATTCAATCAATATCTTCAAAAAACGTACATAAATTTTCTGGACAAACTTTTTTAACAAGAGAAAAATATTGAAGGAAATGTTTCTCTTTCAACTCTTTTCCAGGCCTGGAAGAAAGAACAAGTGTGATGCTTAAGTACTCTTTTTTATTTGTGTAGAATCCATTCATCTACTCTCAGTAGGAAAAATTGAAGAATAACTCAGTGAATTGATTGCATGAATAATCTTATCTGTAAAAGAAGATGAATTGAAAAGAATTCATTTCCAGGCATGTATGGAAAACAGGAATAGGTGAAAGCCTGAAGTGCTTTTTTCCATGTTGAATGCAATCCCGTTAAGGCCCTGGTTCATTAAAATTCATTGAATCTGGCCAAGCAATATATGCAATAAAGGAAAGCAGGAAGATGTTTACTGCAAATAACATCATAAAATCTGAATTATGCATGATCCCATAATCTCCATGGAGGAAAGCAAGCCACAAACCATGGACCATAAGTGAATGCAGAATATAAACATTCATACCATTTTTGTCTTTTATTGAATATTTGCTTTCCTGATAGAGGCAACAGAGAAATTAAATCAGCAATAAAAATGGGCTTTCCTAAATATCCTCACTGCTGTGTTTAAATAATATTCATTGAATCTGAGTCACAGAAAATAAATTTAGTTAGGTCTTTATTCCAGCATAAGAATTGTACTGCCTGATGAAATGGATCCTTCTGTGCAATTATCAATATTATCAACTTGAGATTGGTTTGTGAGGGTAAATTATATGCTCAATGGAAAATCCACTAGCTGTGCTACAATTAAAAACCTAGATCTGATCAGAAACTGTGAACTTTCATTCTATTTTCCCTTGACCCACTAAAGCAAAATGTTTTTCTTCAAACACTTATTCAGCTGAAATGTAAGTGCTCTTCATCCAGGAAAGAACAGCTCTTTTCTTGTCATGGTCATCCAATTTCTTATGAAGTTTTACATAAAGTTTCCCCTCATTATTGATAATCAAGAAAAGAAAATCACATTGAATATTCATTTTCCAGCAAATATTTCAGAATAAATTTCAACTTTAAAATTTGCTGGGAGGGTCTTTGACCATAAATGTTTAATTAAATGTGCTGAATATTTCCATGCTTCATCTTAAACCTTTCTCTGCCAAGTCTGCCAACTTTTGATAACCCTGGACTTATTGCAAATTATGAAGACAACTACATTTTTGCAATAACAATGATGAGTCAATATTCTAAAATATGAGATCAGCTATTTTCTGATCAATTGATTGGTATGTACAGCTTTATTTATCACTTGAGAGCATTCAAAAATGCCAAAAAAATGTTCATGGAATCCAAAAAAGAGTTAGCTTACCATGATTCATTCTCAATGATTCTCTCTAAATAGTTTGGCCAATTAAAACTACCTGGGAAAAGGCTGAACACCTTGTGCTTCAATTATGCTATGCTATTTGCTTTGTGTTGTTATTTTGATCTTGAATGCACTAAATAAACAAGTGACAGTGATTGCTCTTCAGCTTTTGCACAAAAGACTTCCCCCACAATGGATTTTATCACAACAGACTGCCTTTGCAGTTTTCCCTTCTGCTCAATGAACTAAATCTGCATAACAGACTTCTGTTTATTTTTTAACTGATGCTGAAAAGTGAAAATTTAAATTTTTAAATAATTGAATTTGAATAAGAAACTTTTCAGACAACAGAATATTCTGTTGCACAAATTAAGTCCACTTTGCAGTGATTGCATTTCTATGGACTGTGATGCATTTTATTTCAATGACCATTTAGTGATTTAATTTTTCTGAAGCCAGAATGTTTTGGGTTCCTGTGTGAATTCCTTCTAGTCGGTTGATACCTTTTGAGAAAGTGTGGTAATTTGCAAAAATAATGCAATGGAGGCATATAATCATTACCTAACAATGTGGTAACATATGATCTCATGACATATGCAATCAAACAGATAAGATGTACCTTCTGCGAGATAAAATTCCTCACATCACCTGAGCAGCTGAAATTTCCAACTTGTCACATTTTTAGCAACGTTTAACCATAAGTCGAAGTATTTTATTTATTTAATGAATTAGAAGAAAAATATACATACCTGAGGATATTCCTAATGTTGAAGAGCTTGCCCCATGTGAGTCAATGTGAGAGCCATCCCTGAGGGGGAAAGGATATTCACGCGGTTCTTCTTCTGCCGCAGTCAGTTCAAACCCTTGGCTCATGCAAACAACAATAACAGAAAGTGTCCCCACCCTCTTTGAAAAAAAAAAATTCCTAAAGAGCATGTAACAATCCACATGACTAAAAGAATTTTCTAGTTGAGGCAAAGGTTGAAATCATGTGTCCTCATGTCAAAGGGAAACTCCTTATTTTTTATTTTCCATTTTTTTGCTTCATTCATGCAGTGAAATTTCAGTACAAAAATTCTTTTAGGACATCAGAAAAAGTGTATTATACTGATTAATCGATTATAACTGTGATTTCATTATTAAAATTTAGAAAGAGATTTTTCAAATCAAACCTAAACTCAATACTTGAGTATACCTTGCTTTCCTTTTTTTTCTCATTTTTGTGTGTTGAAAAGTGGAGTGATCTTGTGAATAAAAGCACTGTTTTGAATCAAGCGCGTATTCCATCAGTTGCAAAGATCCCATCATTCTTGGTGGATGGTGCATGAAAATCCCCTGGAAGAATTTTGGTCACTGTATTACACCTGCCATTCATGCTTCAAGAACCTGTCAGCGAAATTCAGAATCAGAATTTTCAAACTGTGTCTGCTTTTAGTCAGAAAATTTCTACCTGGATAATCTATTAAATATTCCTCAAAAAAACTTTGTTGTGCTAGAATTGGCCTGCTTGTACACTTCAGATTGTTTTAATATTTACTCTATATATGGACTTTCTGCCATGACTTGGAAAAAGTTTGCCATTCTGAAAACTTTTTCATAGCCTAATTTCTAGTAAGATTATTTCACTGCATTTAAAAAGCAGGGAGATGGAGAGTGTTTCAAAAAAGTGTGGATTCCAGCTTTTTTTTTCCCAAAGAAGAACAATTGGAAATCTTCCCTTGACCTTCCTTGCCTCTTTGTTCTTTTCCTGAGATGGTGAATGTGAAATATACGGATTGTTGACTGACAAAGAACACTGTTATTCTTACAGGTTTGTTGTTTGTTTTATATTGAAAGCAGAAAAAAAGGATTTCCATAAAAAAAAAAACCTTCAGCAGTATATCCCAGCTTGGTTTGTCCCTCCCCCAGGAAAAAATATTTTCTGCAACTAAATTTTATTTCTGTAATTAAATTTTTTATTATTCAAAGCAGAGAAAGATGTAGAGCTTCTCAAAAACCCGTTATGCTCAGATGTCATTCACAATTACCCCTGTATGCAGGAGTGGATGCCAGCTTTTTTGTCCATCCCCCAGTAAATAAATGATGAAAATATCTTATTTATTAACCTGTGTTTCCTGTTCCTCTTTGTTCTCCACCTGAAATGGTAAATGTGTTTCAGATCACCACTTAAAATGGGCAATTTTATGTTCTAAAATTTATATACAGTTATTACAGTGAGACCCCCACATGCAGACACCTTGACCTCCAAACAATTTGACAAAGGGACACTTATGTTCCCAGAAGAATTAAACAAAAAGGCCTGACACATGGACACTGACTCCATGCATAATAAGGATATTTTGCATTAAAATTGCTAATACATTTCCTGCCAAATTACAAGAAACAGATATTTCCAACCCTAACATTGATGTGAAAAAAGCTCTTGGGCATATCGCTCTCACCAATTTACCATCCATTTAGCTAATTTTTAAAAAATTACATCCAGCATATAGGGGGACTTCTACTTTTTTCACTTGAATGTTATTTTTGTAGATGCCATCACATTTCAATGTACAGTACAAAGATACACTATTGAATGCTCCAAATGTTCTTATTCAGTTGAAAATGTATTCACAAATTCAACTTAAAGTGGCAAACAATTTTTTTCAAGGAATTCTGAAGAATATTTCTTCCATAAAACAACAATTATAAATTATATAACATAAGTCTAAGGGAAAACAATACTTGACTTGGGGACAATTCAACTTAGAGACACTCTTGATGCACCAATTATGTCCAGATTTTTTGGGTCTCACTGTATTTTTTATATTATTTGAAGCAGAAAAGCGTGAGGAATTTTTCAAAAACCCCAGATGCTCACAGGTCATGCTCAACAACCCCTGTTCTGTATGAAGCAGTGGATCCCAGCTTTTTTTCCCATTCCCCAGGATAATAAAAACAATGAAAATCTCTTCTTCATTAACCTTTCTTGCCTCTTTGCTTTTTTCTCCGGAAATGGAATGAATGTGTGTGTTAGATGTCGATGACTGACAATAATGAACACTGGACGTCGACTCCGTTTCCGACGCCGGAAACAGATTTGGCAAAGTTGCGCAGTCGGTTTTCCGCAGCGGATTACGCGGTTTTTGCGGGTCTGCTCGCAGTGTCGGCCTTCATCGGCGTTTACTATGGATTCTTCAAGCGGAAGCAGAACAATTCCACTGCCGACTTCCTCATGGCCGGAAGGTCAATGGGGGTTTTCCCCATGGCCATGTCCCTCATGGCCAGGTTTTATGCCGATTTTTTTTTAAAATTTGATTATTTGCTGCAAGAAATTTAAGTTTATCAAGTGGAATGATTAATTGGGTGTCATTTTTGCTGGTCATGACTTTGTCTATTGACTTATACAATTTTTTTTCATTTGATAATTTGCAACAGGAAATTGAATTTTATAAAGTGGAATGATTAACAGGGCATATTTTTATGGTGAAGAAATTTTCTATTGACTTACATATGGGGAGTTAGGCATATATTTTAGAACAAACATATCACATAGTTTATCCTTTCAACCAGTTATTGGGCTTTATTTAGGAATTAGAAGGTTTTCCATTAATTTAAAAGTTGAGTAAGTTGGCTGAATATTTCAACGGATTATATCATGCCTCAGGAATGTTGTTATAGACAAATTTCCTGGACTTAAAGAAAAATATGAGTGAACTATATTTATTATATCCAGTCAAGATTAAGGCTATATTTTTTAATTAGCAGAGAGTCAATTGTATTTAATTGACTCTTTTCAACCATGAAAGGGCCTCCAGAATATTTTCTATGCTTGGAGTGCATCAAGTATAAATTCGTGTTAGTGTGAATTTCACATTTTAAATGCATTGACGTAGTAAGCTTTTCCATTTGAAATTTGTATTTAATAATGAAACATGTTTCTCAATCTGACAAACGTGTTGAGCTGTGTTCCTTTTTTTCTTGAAATTAGCCTTTCATATGTTCACAGTTTTTCCTGAATGCTCCATGATGATGATGCATTTTTTCAGAGATGCCTAATTGGTGTAATGACAATGAAATGGAGCCTAAATTGATGCTTCAAATTCCTTTTTTTTTTGGATTTCCATCCCCGGATGCACTCCAAGATGATTTGCTCTTGTCAAAATTGCCTTCATCAACTTGTTGTTTACTGTAGATTGCATTTCAAAAGAATGGATCTCATTTCTCATCCCATAAGAACAATAAAATTCAATAATCCACTTTACTGGGATATGGAGAAGATTGATTTTTTGAAATTGCTTTATTTCCTGTTTTGACTCTAGCCTCTTTTCTGCAGATTCATGATGTTTTGTAAGATTATTGAGTGCTGAGATAAGACTTTGATTCCCTCTTGTTTTATTAGTTTCATGTCTGCAATCACATTGCTTGGGACACCTGCTGAGGTTTACCAGTATGGCACAATGTACTGGTTCATTGGGGTGTCCTACTTCCTGGTCATCCCTGGTGCAGCCTATCTGTACCTTCCTGTGTTCTACCAGCTGGAACTCACATCAGCATATGAGGCATGTTTTGTCATTTCATATGTTACAGTAGTTTCATGTATCATTTTCCTTGGTAATGAAGATGTGGATGATTTTTTTTAGTACCTGGAGCTGAGGTTCAACAGGGTCTTGAGGTGCACTGGATCTGGGATATTTGTTATACAAATGGTAAGTTCCACTTTCACTATCTTCCTAAGGAACTTATGCATATTATGGATTATTGGCATGGATGTTGACTACATTGGACCCATATTAAACCAACCAGCCAGTTAACAACATTTTGGGTAGGAAACTTTTGGTTTCCAGGTATTAGTTAACAAAAATTCAAGCCAAAATTAAGTTAACAGACAAAACTGCAGTTACCAAACCAAAATGCAGTTACCAAGCCAAAATCCAGTTTAAAAACCAAAATTCAGTTGACAAACCATCCCCTCTGGCAAAAATCCAAAATTTGAAACTAAATAATTTGATTTTCATGCTGAAATTTGTGGAACACTCTAAATGCAAATAATTTCCTCATGCATCAATATGAAACTTTAATGTGTGTGATCGTTTGTTTGAAATTTGTTTGAAGTATATTATTCTAGACCGAATTAATTTTTTTCAACTGTTCATATATTCTTTGAAATGTCAATTGGTTTTTTCCTTTTTGCATAAAAAGCAAAAGTGTGTTTCCATGGATGCAAAGCTTTTACCTTTGTTTCCATCAAAACTACTTCAGCTGAACACTGTAAAATATTCTGGGAACACACAAGATGAAGCAACAACTTGTTCTTATTATAGTTTATGGTTTTGAGTGTTTGGTATTCAATGTTCAACCATTCTTTGGGTTCACATAACAGATTAAATTGTTCCCCATTCAAAGCAATGGGAAAGTCAAGTTTGGTTGAGAAACATTCCAGTAAGCAAACTGATGTCTGGAACCAATTAACTTTCTCAACTGAGGGTTCACTGCGCTGTGGATGATGAGGTTGAAAAGTATTTGGCAATGAATTTCAAAATCAGCTATAATCATTATTTGAATGCTCTTTATTATTTTCTTTCAGGTCATGTACATGGCCATTGTGGTGTATGCTCCTGCTCTTGCACTCAGTCAGGGTAAGTGAATTAAGCTTTTTCTTCAGCACAGCGAATATCCAACACTCAGAAACTAAACTTTCAGTGACTGGGATGAATGTGTACCTGTCTGTGTGCCTGATTTTTGGGGTATGCGCATTCTATACTGTCTTGGTAAGTCTAGACTGCCTTGAACTTATCTCTGAATTACCCAAAAAAATTCAAAACTTCGAAAAACAGGGAGGAATGAAAGCTGTCATGTGGACAGACACAGTTCAGGTCATCATCATGTATGCAGCCATGATTGGTGTGGTGATCAAGGGTGCTGCAGATGCAGGAGGCATTGGGGAGGTCATCAGAATCAATCAGCACTCTGGAAGACTTGCCCTCAAGTGAGTATTCTGCTGCTTGTTCACTGGAAGAAAATAATATTGATTGGAAAAATGATATGTTTGCAGCTTCAGTGGTGACATCAGGGAGAGGCACACTTTGTGGTCAACAGTTTTGGGAGGGTATTTCACCTGGATTGCCATTTATGGAGTGAACCAGGCTCAAGTGCAAAGATATCTAACTGTCCCAAAGCAGAGCATGGCTATCAAGTAAATTGCTGAATTTTAATGTGTTATTTATGCATTAATCACCCATTTTGTTGAACAGGGCTCTCTGGATAAACCTTGCTGGGTTATTTGGATTACTGTCCATATGCTGTTTTGCTGGGATGGTAATTTATGCAAGATATGAGCAATGTGACCCTTTAACTGTGAAAACTGTCAGTAAATCTGATCAATTATTCCCTTTATTTGTAATGGACACTCTGGGAGAAATCAGTGGAGTCCCAGGGATATTTGTGGCAGGGATCTTCAGTGGTGCCTTGAGGTAAAAAAAAAAACATTATCAAATCAACCCACAAAGAAATGTTTTCAATTTTTTTCCCACAGCACTGTGTCCTCTGGGGTAAATTCATTGGCTGCCATAGCCCTGGAGGACTTTGTAAAGCAATTTTTCTGGAAGAACATGACCCAGTCCAATGAACTCATGATGTCCAAGATTTTGTCTCTTGTGTTTGCTTTGGTATCTTTTGGCCTGGTGTTTGTGGCTGAACAACTGGGAGATGTGCTCCAGGCTGCACTCAGTATATTTGGCATGGTTGGGGGACCACTGCTGGGTTTGTTCACTCTTGGAATGTTTTTTCCTTGGGCAAACTCCAAGGTATAATAAAAATTCTGTTGAAGATTAAGATGAGATCAACTCATATATTCTCTTTCTCTCAGGGTGCTGCTTGTGGAGCTTTGGCTGCTATATGCACCACATTCTGGATTGGCTTTGGTGCTCAAGTGGTGAAAGCCAAGGGGTACTTAGTCCTAGAGAAAATGCCAATTTCAGCCACATGCTTGCTCAACCAGAATTCCAGTGTGACTGAATCAATGATCACAAGTACTATGCAGCCTGAAAAGAGCCTAGAGTGGTGAGATATGAATACAGTTGACCCCCTCACAATGGACCTAATATGTGCAACAGACTAGTCTGTTATGTGAAAAGTCTATAATGAAAATTTTGGTTAGGTAGCAAGAGTGGATGTGAGGGACTCACGCCCACTTGCAGCACTCCCCTCTGCAGACTGAAGTCTGTTATGCAGATTTGTCTGTTGTGCAAGTGGAAAAACTGCAAACAGAAGGGGGTCTGTTCTTCCAAAATCTGTTGTGCATGGGTCCACTGCTTTGTAGTTGCATTTGCATGATCCTTTGGTGTAACTATATTTGATGCACTTGTGGATAGGTTTCCTCTACTGGAATTATATGGCATTTCATACATGTGGTATGCAGCCATTGGCTGCTTCACAGTCATCATTGTGGGGATGCTGGTGAGCCTGGTGACAACATTGCAGGACACCAGTCAACTGGATCCAAGGGTCATCAGTCCAGTTATGTTGAAGATCATGGGAAGGATGCCTGAAGGATTCAGGAGGGCCATTGCTTGGAACATTGGACATTCTTTTGTGGGTTCCTAAAATTTTCAATATCTCATAGAAAACATCAAACAAAACCTTGTTACAAGAAATACCATTACAACAGAATTTTCAGCTGTTTTCCAAGTTCTGCAGGCAGTTAAATCTTGTATAGGGTACATGTTACAAAAATCCCATTAAAAGAAACTCACCATTTTTGTATAACAAACCATTTTTAGGAACATGTTGTGATTTTCCTAGTAAAGAATCCCATAAATCAACAAGCACAGTCTCAAATTTCCCTTCCAAATGTGACCTTGACTGGTTCTATGACGGAATAAAGTAACTTTAAAGTAATATCAAAATAAAAAAATCTTCAACGTTCACCAGAACATCCTTACTTTCAGAAACTGTTCCTGGGTCAGGAAAGATAGGGAAAGAGTTAGATGGAACTAAATAAAAGAAACCAGCAAAAACTCATGTTTATAATTTGGGGCAAGACTTGTATAGAGTTTCACTACTGCTTAGGCAGAAACTCTGTTGATGTTCAACACTTGAAAGCTTATTTTGGAACATCCACCCTCACAAACCTGTGCAATCATTGCTTGGAAAAGCTTCGAAACCCATAAAAGTAATTGTGTTAACCTGTTATTCACAGTAATTGTGTGTTATTATTGAAAGTTTAATTTACTTTGGAAGATCACAGTTTTTCAAAGATGGAAACCCATCTGAAAGACCACAAAAATCTCCAAAACTTTACAGGTTTAATCTCAAACAATTTTTCCAGTCAATAATTTTGCTATGATGAATTATTCCTTTTAGCCAACTTCTTTTGCAATTCCCCATATGGTTCTTGTAACAATATTTCACTGTACTCAATTGCTGGAATTCGATTTTCAGAGTCCTCAAGATGAAGGCAAAGGCATGTTCCAGTTGGGAGACACTGATGGAAGTTTGGGGAAAATTGAAAATAGGTCCGGAATTTTCAATTCAGCCTACATAAGTTCGCCAGAAGAAGTCTTGGACAACGAAAGCAGTGCTGCGAAATTGAAATCAGAAAAGTTGAAATTGTAGCAGACGAGGATCAGACGAAAACTCCACATAATTTTTCCTTTTGTCTTGCAACGCCAACCTGCAATTGCTGGTGAATGAAACATTGGAATTCGTTTTCCAAGTGTCAAGCAGTGAATTTCGAGAAGTGACACCTAGCTTGTGTTGTTGAAACCTCAAGGCCAGCTGCTTGGCCTTTTCAATCTCAGGTGTCGCAAGAACTTGAACTCCCTTGACATGATTGAAAAAATAAATATTTTATAGTGTATTGATGAAAAATGTCCTTTCAGTTCGTTCTCTGGACTTTCTAAATTGTTCACAAATGGTGGGTGACCCGAATTATTCATGGGAAGTATTCATTAAAGTCACTGGTGCATGAAGATATTTTGACGAACCTTTCTGCAATGCTAAGAAATTTAAATACAAAATATTGAATGTAAATATCCATATATACATAGTGCAGACTTGTTCCAAAAAATTATAACATGCAATTCTAGCCATAAAAACCTCAGCATGATTGCTTGTGAGCATTGGAATATATAAAAGATGAATTTTTTTTTTAAATCAGGGAAGGCTTTTATACACTTCTTGAAGACTTCTGAACATTTTCTTCTTGATATACTGAGTGAGTTGGAAACATGAAGAACAGTCAACACCAAAAGAGAAAATAAATTCATCTTTAAATGTTCAAATATATAAATAAAACATCAAAACCACATCAGAAACCAGCAGACACACACATTTTCCTCAAATTGAAACACTGTGACCATGTGGATGAAAAGTCTCAAGCATGTTGATGTTACAGGCAAAGCCTTGGTATGAATCAGACCCGATTGTTGTAACTTCTGCTCAAATCAGCTTCAGAATATCTTGAGGGCAGCTGCTCCATGGGAAATCTGAAAATATTCAGTATATACTCCAGGATGTGTTTCAACATAGCCAATACCAAACTATTTGAAATAGGAACATAACCAGCTCCTGACTCACTTCTTGCAGTTTGACAAAACAGATCTTCAGGAATTCCCTTGGCAGCAGTGTTTTTTGAAGTGCTTCCTCAAAATTGGATCATGTTGCAATCACACCATATTACAAATTTTGCCATAGTGTAATGTCCATGTTTCTGTCAACTGCTCAATCATTTTATGAGAACCCATGGAAAGTAAAGCAAACCACCTGCAGAATGAGAAGAATTAGCCATGATCCAATAGGCTCTTCAAGCTGATAAATACCCTGGTTAAAAGAATCTGAATATCCTGGAAGTGAAGCTGAGATGCAGAACACCAGGTCCACATTTTTTTCTGCAAAAGAGCAAAACTCATCATAACATGAAACCATCCATCAACATCCTGACTTACTTCATGAGACTTTTTTGAATAGTTCTGCTTGGACTTTTCCAGTGTTTCCATCCAGTTGATTTGCTTGACAGATTTGAAAAAATGCAATTTTGTAAATTTTAGCAAAGCACATTATGTGCAGGTGAACATAGATAACTCAAACCTCCTCAAGTCAAATACCCCCTGAGTCAATTTGTTTCAAGATTCTCTCTGAATCCACTCAGCAACAATACATATAAAACCACCCTAAGTTGAACACTTTCCCCATCAAACCTCTTTAAGTCAAATTTTCTTTGGCATGTTGACTATGATTTTCTTTACACAAGAAATAAAAAGCGATGTAATTATGACCTCAACAAAAAATTACCAACTTCATAGAACCAAATTAATGAATCACAGATATACCTAAACAGGAATCAATTCCTAAAAGTCCAATAATTAAAGAAAAGCCCAAAATTATAAAACCAATCAAAATCACAAAAACCCCAGATTCACAAATTATAAAACACTGTTAGCAGTGGAAATTCCCTGATAATAATTGGCTGAGAATTGCAGCAGTGTTCTTGAGAGTCTGCTGCAGGCAGAACTTGCACATTGATGAGAAAGAAGGAGAGAAGAGGATGAAGGAAGGATGAGATAATTATATAGAATACGAGGGCTCTAACAAAAGTTCTCCGGATGAAAATGAAAATGGTGTCTGATTGAGCAGAAAAAAAATGATTCTATAGGGCAAACATATTCTTTGGCACAAAAAAAAGTCAGCCCTGTTTGACAATTTTTTTCAATTTTTGCAAAATTCACCTTGGCAGAGTTTTGCTAAACACTTAACAGATGAGGCACCCTTCCTGAAGTTTTTTTTTGTGGCCCAGCTTTCCCCTCAGAATTTTTGAAATCAACTTAGCTTGGACAGTATTTTTTTGGGGAGCCAAAAACCTCCTGAGTCCCAAATGGTGCTCACGGCAGGTAATGGGTTAACATTAAGCATCCTTCTTACAAGGTCCCATTACCACATGGGATGCGGTACATTTCAAAGCGTCCCATTACCACTTGGGATGCAGTATGTTTCAGAGCATCCCATTATCAGCTAGTATTTGGTCTAGCTCCCCAAAAAAGTTGTTTTTAAAGTTGGCTTTAGGAAAAATATTGCTGTAAATTTAAAAATCAAGAAAAAAAGGCAAATAAGGTTTTGAATTGTAGATAACTTCACTGCAAAGGTTTTGCCTATTTTTATATAATTTTAGCTTGAACGGTATTTTTTGGGGAGCTGAAAACCTCCTGAGTCCCAAATGGGGCCCACGGCAGGTAATGGGTTAACATTAAGCGTCCTTCTTACAACGTCCCATTACCATATGGGATGCGGTACGTTTCAGAGCGTCCCATTACCACTTGGGATGCGGTATGTTTCAGAGCATCCAATTACCAGCTAGTATTTGGTCTAGCTCCCCAGAAAAATTTTTTGAAAGTTGGCTTCAGAAAAAATATTGCTGTAAATTTAAAAATCAAGAAAAAAAAGGCAAATGAGGTCTTGAATTGTAGATAACTTCACTGTGGAGGTTTTTCTCATTTTTATATATTTTAGCTTGGACAGTATTTTTTTGGGGAGCCAAATACCTCCTGAGTCCCAAATGGTGTTCACGGCAGGTTATGGGTTAACATTAAGCATCCTTCTTACAAGGTCCCATTACCACATGGGATGCGGTACGTTTCAAAGCGTCCCATTACCACTTGGGATGCAGTATGTTTCAGAGCGTCCCATTATCAGCTAGTATTTGGTCTAGCTCCCCAAAAAAGTTTTTTTGAAAGTTGGCTTTAGGAAAAATATTGCTGTAAATTTAAAAATCGAGAAAAAAAAGCAAATGAGGTTTTGAGTTGTAGATAACTTCACTGCAGAGGTTTTGCATTTTTTTATATAATTTTAGCTTGAACAGTATTTTTTTGGGGAGCTGAAAACTTCCTGAGTCCCAAATGGGGCTCACAGCAGGTAATGGGTTAAAATTAAGCATCCTTCTTACAAGGTCCCAATACCACATGGGATGCGGTATGTTCCAGAGTGTCCCATTACCATATGGGATGCCGTACGTTTCAGAGCATCCCATTACCACTTGGGATGCGGTACGTTTCAGAGCGTCCCATTACCAGCTAGTATTTGGTCTAGCTCCCCAAAAAAAAAATGTTCAAGCTAAAATTATATACAAATAAGCAAAACCTTTGCAGTGAAGTTATCTACAATTCAAGACCTCATTTGCTTCTTTTTGTTCATTTTTAATTCAACACTTGAATCAACGACGTAATCATAACAAAATTATCAGGTAGACTGACCTTGTGGCCCTCTTTAACATCCGGCTACAAACTCAGCCCGCCTAACTATTTAATTACAATTCAATTTCCAAATTTAATCAACCAATTTCAACTGTCTTGACAATTCAGAATTTATCAGCTTGGTTCTATCATTTTATAGACTACTTTTTAACCCGTGCATACAACGATAGACCCCGCAAATTAATTCTAGACATTCAGATGAACTTGAAAGGAATTACAGATAAATTCTTCAACCTATTAACCCCCGCAAAGTGGCTCGAACCTGGACACTTTGGTGTACGATCCCTACGTATAACTTCCAGGCCACCCAGACATGGGCAATTTTAAAACAGTTCAAACCAAGGTTATAAAGTTGAGCACATTTAGGGAAAGTAGAGCAATAAAATCAGGGTAAATGGGAGCAAAAATTGAGGACTTCGAGAAAAATCAGGGGTCCTCATGCGCGCGAGAGTTGTTTACCGTTGCAGAAAATGGGAGCACATGCGCGCCCCAATTTTGGTAGCCGTACATCCCCATACCTACATATGTTCAGCAGAGAGAAAAATACCTTTTGTTCAAGAACCAAAAGGAGGGCTTCAGAATGACTCCAGCAGCCGTTCACACCCCTCTCCCAAATTAAATCAGTGTTCTCACCTAATTCTCTACTAAAAATTTTTCTCAAACATATATGCTTGTTTCAGATGTATTATACGTTTAGTTCTGTGGTTGCGGACGCAATTACCGAATATATATTAGATAATATGAAACACTGCGGTGAAAAATTACATTATCCCTTAATTACCATACCCTCATTCAACATGAATATGCAAATTTTCAAATTTAAGTGCGACAAATGTACTTATAAAATTACATCGTGGCAAGATAATACCTGGCAACACCAGGAAGATTATCATGAAAAGATCCCTGAAGGATATTAACCACCCTATTATTTTTAATGTTCACAGTAACACGTGAAAAGAAGTGAAATGGTGAAATTTGCAATCTTTTTCTATACTTTAATAATTCTAAGGCAAACCCATTCACAAGTAAATTTGCTGCAACCAATACAAACATTAGGAACAGCAGCATCTCAAACAATGAATATTGCCACAGACATACTATTTCCACCAGCACCAGTATTGCTCAAAAATAAGGCAAAAGAAGATAATTCTGGGCCAACTTTGCCCATAAAGAATTTCTTTGGTGACATTGGAATAGCTTACAAACCAATGCCACACATATGTTTAACAGAAAATGTTTGGATAATAGAACAGGATAAACAAATTGGAGAAATTGCACAAAAACTCAGTAAAATAATCCAAGAATCAAACAAATATTACACTAGAGCAAAAAATAAGACAGATGTAGAAACATATGATGAAATGTA